TGTACACAGTGTGTAAGAGTGTAATTGTGCAGGTGTGTACACAGTGTGTAACAGTGTGTGTGTGTGCAGGTGTGTACACAGTATGTAACAGTGTGAGTGTGTGAAACTGTGAGTGTGTGTACACAGTGTGTAACAGTGTGTGTGCGGGTGTGTACACAGTGTGTAACAGTGTGTGTGTACACAGTGTGTAACAGTGTGTGTGTACACAGTGTGTAACAGTGTGAGTGTGTGCAGGTGTGTACACAGTGTGTAACAGTGTGTGTGTACACAGTGTGTAACAGTGTAATTGTGTGTACACAGTGTGTAACAGTGTGAGTGTGTGTACACAGTGTGTAACAGTGTGAGTGTGTGTGTACACAGTGTGTAACAGTGCAGATGTGCGGGTAACAGTGTGAGTGTGTGTAACAGTGTGAGTGTGTGTACACAGTGTGTAACAGTGTGAGTGTGTGTGTACACAGTGTGTAACAATGCAGATGTGTGGGTGTGTAACAGTGTGTGTGTGTGTGTACACAGTGTGAGTTTGTGTACACAGTGTGTAACAGTGCAGATGTGCGGGTGTGTACACAGTGTGTAACAGTGTGAGTGTGTGTACACAGTGCAGGTGTGCATAAACTGCAGGTCTGTGGGCGTGTACACAGTGTGTAACAGTGCAGGTGTGTGGGTGTGCATACAGTATGGGCATACAGGTTTGTATGCACTACAGGTGTGCGGTCAGGCGTGTCTAAACTGCAGATGTATGGGTGTGCACACACAATGCAGGTGTACAGGTAAGTGGGTTGCAGGTGTGTGGGTCTGCAAGGGTAGAGGTATGCAGTTGTTCATATAGGTCTGTAGGTGTGAGTGGGTGCAGGTGTGGAAGGGTGTGTCCCCACCTGCCTGAGCCGCTGACTGGAGAGAGGCAAGGGGTCTAGTACTCGAGGTCCCTGGGACACTCACATTATGTCCTTCAGGATGGTTAGGTAGGACTCCGTGTCTGCGCTGTACATGTCTGTGTCCAGGCCGGCCAGGTACCGGTACATGTAGGCGAAGGTCTTGAAAGGGATGCGTGCAGGTCCGCCCTCGGGGTCAGCCGTCAGGATCTGACAGATGTTCTTCATGGCTGAGTTCAGGGACTGGAACACACAGTGAGGACTGTGACCACAGAGAAGGGGCACGGCTCCCCACCCGGACTCCCAGGACCCGCTGAGTCTGTGGTCAGGGAAGATTCTGACCAGAGTTGATGTTACGGCATGGACAACTCCCAGGGAGGCCCGGAAGCTTCTTCAGAGCTGAGTGTCCAGTCCTGAGGCTCAGCTCTGTCCAGCCTGCCCATGTCCCTGCACCTGCGCACACAGCAGGCTCTGGACAGGCCTGTTTCCGGGACACACACCTTCCAGCCCTGCCGATCTTGTACTTTGCTCAGGGTCACCCTGGTTGTGTCCCGTTTCCATGAGCAGCCAGGAAGCCCATCCTTGGAGACAATCCCTCCCCCCTATGCCATCCACAGAACCTTCTGGAGGTTAGACCCTGCCCGTCTCAAGTTCTCTCCACTTGATAAAAGAGGCCCCAAACAGGTCACTGTTTGTCTCCACCTGCAAGGCCAGGCTCAGCGGCAGGAGGCCAGCGGGAGCCTGATGCATGGACAGTCCCGAGTCCCCACCCACTCTGGCCTCCTAGGCTGCGGTCAGCAGGCCTGAGTGTGGGGTCAGGGCAGCTCAGGGTAAGTAGGTGGGGGGTGGGGTGGGCACTGACCATAGCTTCGCCCTCAGCAAAAGCATGATGAGGTTTCTAGGCTCCAGGCTGCCGTCTGATAGGAGGATCTGCAGTGATTTTATATCAGGGGCCACACCTGACTGCTACTGGACCGAGCGTGATGTTTCTTATGAACTCACGTTTCCCCCAAAACACCCCACGCAACAGCTGATGCGCCCGTGCCCGAGGCCTGGGCTGGGGTTCCACTCTGCCCACAGAGCTTCACTCTATCTTCTTGGGTTGTGCCTTCAGGCTTCTGAGTGAAGGGGGACAGTGAAGGGGCAGCTGTGCTGAGTGGGGCTGTCCTGGGGCCTTGCAGCCTGCAGTGTCACTGGACGGGTGACCGGCGACTCAGTGGGGACGGAGGTGGTGATGTCATGAGCGGCATGTGGACACGGTGGTCAGTGCCCGGCAAGACCTTCACTGTGGCTGGCTGGCTCTGGCACACTCCTCCAGGTCAGAAGCTGTTTGAGGACTGGGCTTTGCTCCTGGAAGTGTTTAAGATTCTCTCTCCACGTTTTAAAGAACCAAGTGGTGACTCCCAGGCCACTTGAGCTCAGGAGGTAAAGGTGTGGCTTGCAGCATTCTCGAGCACAGGGGAGCCCCTGGCCTGCCCACAGAGACTGCAGGGGTGTCGTTGGGGATGGAACTCCACCCGAGCCCAGAGCTCTGTCTCTGGCAAGACTCTGAGGGCAGGAGTGACCTGAGTGGGTGGCAGGTGACCTCTCTCACCGTGGGGCGCCCATGACACATACTGTTCTGATGGTGTTTTTAAGGCCTGAGAATAAATGTGAGGAAGTCCCCAGAGCTCACACTTCCTGGTTAATGCACCCAGGTGTCAGTGATGCAGGTGGCCAGTCCACACAGCCTGCTGGAGGCGTCCGACCCTGCCCTCTGCGCTTGTGGAAGGTGCCCTCCCTCCTGAGCACACAGACATCTAAGGGTGGCCACACAGGGTGACCAAGAGCTGGGGCTGGCCAGCCCGCCTGCTCGTGTCCTCGGTGTGACTGTCTCTTCCGGCAACGGGTGGACAGAACACAGCGAGACTGTCCTCACAATTCCCTGCCCCTCCCTCCCTAACACGGCTCTACCCCGAGTTGCACACAGAAATTGGGTCAGAAACCCTGTTTTTCAAAATGGAGTTTCATGTTGGATCTAGTACTGACGTTTCACGGTTCCAAGTGCAGACCCGTTGCATGGGGCCGATGCCGAGCAGGCCAGCCCAGGTGTGCAGTGGGACGGCTCCGTAAGCTCTGTGGCTGATCCAAACCCACATCCACGGTGACTTAAAGGACAAGGCAGAGCTGCCCCTGGGGTTTCTAGGCTGCAAATCTTTACGGGTGATCCGCTCAGCAAACAGACCACGTAAGTGCAGGGACAGGATTCAGCCCTGACTGACCCTTTCTTAACTAAGTCCACCACTCAGTGTTCCCTGGTTCCGTCTACATGGCAGTCTCCATGCCCAGGCGCCCCATGAGGACAGTCAAGTGTTCCGGAGACTCATTCTCCATCACGTCATCCGTGATCTGTCACGGTCCACACAGCCAAAAGCCCTAACACAGTTAGCAAGGCCCAGGCAAACATGGCTCTGGTATTCTGTGAGGCTGGAAGAACTAGCTGGTGCCCACCTGCCACTGGCCACCCTGATCACAATAGAAGGTACCAGGGTAAGTGGGAGGAAAACGTCGAACAAGATTTAAATTCACAGCAAGGACCAGACTAACTGGTCTGATGGAGACTGGCGGCGCCCCCTTCAAACCTAGGGCGGAAACTGCTCCTGGAGCTCATCTTTCAGCCACATAAAGGCCAGGCTTCTCCCTCCCAGCAGAGTCCTGCTGTGGCGCTGGACACAAACACTCCACCTCCAGGCCGACCTTGCAGTTCAAACTCACCAGCGGCTCCTCCTCCGAACCCTATACAGGGTCAGAACTCACTCACAGCGCTTAACACCAGCAGTCCTCCAGCAGAGCCCGGGGAAGTACAGGCTCCTCAGAGCAGAGGACTACGCCAGATGCAAGTTCTGAAGGCAGGAAGGGGAGGAAAACTGGGTGGGCACAATCAGGAGTGGGCCAACACCCTGTGGACAACACAGCCAAAGCCTTGGAGTCCCTGGGTACCAAGTGGATCGCTGGGTGGGAAACTGATGTACTCCACAGACGTTCACCTAAACCCCACAACTTAGCTACAAAAACACGGAAGAAGCTAAAGAATGATGGTGCTTCCTTCCTTTCGGTATGGAAATGTCAGCCCTGTCACGGTGGGCCTCAGGCACCTACCCCGCCCAGAGAGCTGCATCCCAGCGCCAGGAATTTCATCCACTCCATTTGCTTCCCACACGGATCCAGCTTGACGATGGCTCTGAACTTCTCTACCGGCAGGCACAGGTTTTTCCATTTCTGTTCCAGGTCGTCCAACTCCACGAACTCCTTGTGGCTGCACTGTTTGACAGAGCACAGAGCGGGGAGGTACGTGTGGGCTTGTGGATACTCAGCTACCTAAGGGTCAGCCACGGGCTGGGAGTGGTCAGCACCGGGACGGGACGGGCACGGGGTGGGGCATGCTGTTGGCTACACACATGCTGTCTGTCAGCTGTTCTTTCTTTGATATGTAACTTATTTACGTTGTCAGTGTTGAGTGTATTCTGCAAAACAAGCCCCAATCCAGCCGTTTCCCTGCACAACTCAATGGCACAGACATCCTGCGAGCTGTGGACCCTCCTTTTCTGAGCTGCGTCTCCCCATTCAGGTCATCGCATGTAAGCTTCGAGTTGCTGTTGGCAATTGGACCCCATATTTTGTTGTTTCGTGTTGTTGAGTCGGTTCTGACTCCTAGCGACTCTGTACAGGGTTTCTGAGGAGCCGAGGGTGGGTTTGAACCACTGACCTTGCAGTTAGCAGTCAGTGCTGACCCTTCAGCACCACAGCAGGCATCCCATGTAGACTTTGAAGGAGCACAATGCTCAAGGTGGACATTGTTTACTAATCACGCTAAACCAGTGTTTACTTTTCAGGGACTATTTTGGTTTAAGGTTTAAACATGATCTCAGGGCAATAGTTTCATCTACCCTCCCTGGCTCCACAAAATAGTGAGTCCTTGAGAATTTGAAATTCTGTTTTACATCTGCCACCTTTTCTTAAGGATTTTTCTATGGAATCTTTAATCAGTAGGTTCAGTCACAGTGGCCGGGCACCATGCAATTCTTGTGGTCTCATAGCAAAGGAGGTGGTGGTTCATGGAGGTGATCACACGTTCCCGTCTGTATCCTCCACTGAGTCCTGCTCTCCTCACCCTCTTTTGTTCCAGGTGAACAGAAGCCAATTGTGCCTTTTGCTAGCTCTAAGATCCCAGGCACTACTCAGCAAAGCAACAGTGGAACCCATGTATTACATAGACTACTTGGCCAAGTCACTGGGATAGGGATGTCCCATGAACCCACGACCCAAAACTCCAAACCATGGAACCAGATCCCATGAGGTGTCTGTAACATTTTATTTCTTAAAAGAACCACGAACCAAGGATGGCACAACACCGTGAAAGGTAACTTGAGTTCGCAAACACCAGACACGTGCGCACAGACACGGGACACACAGCTCTTGGCTGTTTGACTGAGATATACACAATAAGAAAGAACTGTAGGAAATGCATGAAAACTCAACCCCTAGACACGCTACCATTAAGATGAGAGAAATCTTAGAACAGAAAGAAGAAAACCCTCACTCATTCGATCATTTTAAACAATATATGGACATCATGCGGTCCCCAGGTGGTGCCCACAGGATGCTGAACTCCTCTCTGGAAGGCTGGAAGTTCAAATCCACCCACAGGGGTCTCCAGAGAGGCCACAGGGTCAAGTCAGTGTTGTTAGTGCTACGCACTCAACTCCACCTCATAATGACCCTGTATGGGACTTCCCAGGAGCCACTGGTGGGTCTGAGCCATCAGCCTTGTAATGAATGACCCAGTGCTCACTCTACAGCACCACTAGGATCAAGTTCTTGTTGTTTAGTACCGTAGAGTCGGTTCCGACTCATAGTGACCCTGCACAGCGTTTCCGAGGCTGCAAATCTTTATGGGAGCAGAAAGCCTCATCTTTCTCCCATGGAACGGCTGGTAGTTTCCAATTGCCGACCTTGAGGTTCGCAGCCTGATTCGTAACCACTACGCTACCAGAGCTCCTTCAAGAGAGGTAGGGAAATCTTGAATTCGGGATGTCAGGGTCCCTGCACAGCTGCCTGTCAGCCCTGCAAACACGGCTCCTAAGTGCAGGCAACAGTGCCAAGCCCCCCGGCGCTCTGGGTGGGCACTGGCTGCTCGAGAGCAATCCCTAGCTTTCAGGCACATACACCCAAGAAGAACCGGCACCTCATTTCTGCACATTCTTGAAATGGTTACAAGACTCCTGAGGCCCCCCAATTCCAGCTCCCAGCATGGTTATAACATGGTATTTAGAAGTTACTCTGGCTTTCTAAGATCTAATTGCAAATTCCCCACCACTCATCTGTCAGTGTGGTGGCTTGCATGTTGCTGTGATTCTGGCAGCTATGCTACGGGTATTTTAAATATCAGCAGGGTCACCCATTGTGGACAGGTTTCAGCTGAGCTTCCAGACGAAGACAGACTAGGAAGAAGGAGAGACGGACAACTTCCAAAAATGGAGTCACTGAAAACCTTCTGACTAGCAGTGGAACACTGTCAGCACCAGAATATGGACTACTGAACCAAGATGAAGAAAAGAAAACATTGTCAGATATAGTGTCGGAAGATGAGCCCCTCAGGTTGGAAGGCACTCAGAATTAGAGTTGACCATGCTGATGTGAATGGAGTAAAACTTTCAGACAAAAAGGAAGACCCCCCAACGAGACGGACTGGCCAAGTGGCAGCATCGATGGACTCAAGCGTGGCAACAGTAGTGAGGTTGGCCTAGGATCGGGCAGTGTTTCGTTCTGCTGTGCATAAGGTCGCTATGGGTCAGTTCCGACTCGATGGTACCTAACAACAACAACAATAGCAAAATGAACGATTTTCATGTCAAGTTCTTTCATCAGACAGGATGTGGGATCTGAGTACTCCTCTGGGGACGTCAGTGGAGGCCTCACACGGGACTTGTACGGGGCTCTCACAGCAACATCGAGTTGATGGGTGGGAGGCGGGTCAGCTGTGGATGCAGCCTATACCTGCTTGTGAAGCACCTTCAGGAGTCCTTGCGTCAGGCCTGTGTCTGTCTTCTGGGTGGCCACGGGCATCTCAAGTCTGTCTTTCACAGGAAGAGGGTCCCCTCGGGACAGAGCTGAAAAATAGCTAACAACAGTGGCAGTTGAGCGAGGGCCTCGTGCATTCCACGCCTTCGGGCTGCCCCACCCTCAGGCACGGTCCCTGAGATTTCAGTCCAATGATCCTATTGCAGGCCCCTGCCCTCTAGAGCTGTAAGTAAATCAGTCAATCTGTGCTGTAAAAACGTTCCCTCTACATTCATGGGGTCCTGACACATTCAGTGGCGCTCTTGGCCAGGGAGGGAGGGTTCTCAGGGGCATTAATGAGTAGCCAGGCCTGTGGATGGTCCTGGAAGATGTACTTTTCAGGGCCCATGTGCTTGTGAATCACACACCAGGCTCTTCAGGGGGATTCTTGGAACCAGACAGCACCAGCCAAGAGGATTGTCAGATGCTGTTCTGGGCTGTCGTTGGTAGTGGGTCAGAGAGACACTTTCAGGAAGAGGGTCCATCCCCAAGAAGGGCCTGTCCCTGGAGGCACTGGGGGCTGATCCCTCAGGAAGGGGGCCCATCCTCAGTAGCTGTCTGTCCTCGGGGCCAGTAGGGGTCCATCCCAGGAAGGTTGCCCATCCCTGGGAGTAGCGGGGGTGGGGGAGGAGTGGGCCTGGTTCCCTAGGAGGGGCCTGTCTTCCAGCAGTGGGGTTTGATCCCAGGAAAGGGGCTGACTTCTGGGTAGTGGGGGCAGCCCGCTGGCCCTGCGCTCACCCCGCTGACCACTGCAGCACATCTGCTGGCTGAGTGCGGATGGCTGCCTTGGTGAACTGCTTCAGGATGTCCGGCAGCTCCGGGGGTATATGGATCTGCTGTGCGCAGAACATCGTATCGGGAAGCGGCATGGAGGCAGCCAAAGGGGTAGGAGCAGCCTGGGAGAATGGCGGTGGCTGCGGGGGTAGGGCGGGCCGTCAACCCCCGCTCCAACCACCCCTGGTTTGGGGCTGGGCAAGGAAGGGGTCAGGGGTAGAAGTTCGGGGCCCGGCGTCCCTCCTTCCTGAGTTTGGGGTTAAGGTACCGAGAAGAGGTTTGGGGCACCGGTGTCACGCCTACCCGGGTTTGGGGTCGGGGTCTGGGAGGGCTTGGGGGCCTTGGGGGCCTTGGCGACCCTCACTGGGTTTGGGATCTGGGTGCGGCGATGAGCTCCGGGTCAGCATTCTCCCTCTTTGGGTTTGGCGTCGGGGTACCAAGAAGAGGTTCAGGGCCTGGCGACCTTCCTCGGGTTTGGGGCTGGAGTCCGGGCACGAGCTCGGGGTCCCCCTCCCGTATTTGGAGTAGGGTACCGGGACAGGCTCGAGATGACTGGAGATCTCACCAGCTACTCCTCCGGCTCTTCGGCGAATGTGGACCAACGGCCTCTCGAGTGACACCCCGAAGACAGCCAGGGACCTCGCAAGTCGGTATCCCGGCAACCAGGACGCGTGCGGGTCCCCCGCCTCCAGCACTGCGCAGGCGCACACAGTCGTGGAGGGAATGCGGCGCACGCGCACGAGCCTAGCACAGCCAGGGACGGGACGCGCAGGCGTACTCACTCTGCTCGGGCTGCGAGGTGCCGTAAGAGGCGCTCGCTGGTGAAGTGAGACTCCGCGAATGGTGGCGTTTGTTGGCCGGAGCTGCCGACTGGACGCCCCTCGTCTCCGCTGTCCGGTGAGCGCTTCGGACTCGTGAACTCAACACCCCTGTGAAGCCACGCTTGGATTCTCACTCCACTCACAGGCCGGAGTAGCGGGGAGCGTGCCGGCCAGTGATGCACCCAGACCTTCCGTGGGCCAGTCCATGCTGCGCGCGCATCCCCCATCACCTCCCTAGTGCACATACGTGTTGTTGATGTTAAGTGCCATGGTTCGGTTCCGATACACCAGGACTCCGTGAACACACACGTTAGTGCGCCACATGCACACCCACAATGCAGACCCCCAAAACGCACCCAGTGTAGTTAGGAGTTGTCCATTCGGCCTGACTCACAGCAACCCAATGCACTATAGAATGAAACACGGCTGATCCTACACTACCCTCCCAAGTCAATCTAGCTCACTGGGGGTCTTCCTCTTTTTTTGCTGATCATCTACCAAAAATAAGGAGTCCTGGCGTGGCACTGGGGGCTAATGCGTCAGACTGCAAAGTCGTTTGAACTGCAAGGTCGGTGGTTCAAGCTCACCAGCTGCTCCTTGGAAACTCTATACAGGGTCACTATGGGTCAGAATCGACTCAACGGCACTTAACAACAACAACAACAACCAACTAGTCTCCTGGGACTAGTCCCTCCTGACAGCATAGCTAAAGTACTTGAGCCAAAGCCTCGCCATCCTCACATTACGAAACATTCTAACTGTACTTAGTCCAACAAAGGTTTGTTCCTCCAACACCGTAACTATAATGCATCGATTCTTCTACCGTCTTCATTATCCAACTTTTACAAGCGTATAAACTGTTGAAAATACCAGGGCTTGGGTCAGGCGCACCTTAGTCTTCAAATTGATCTCTCTGCTCTGGAACATTTTTAAGAGGTTTTGTGCAGTCGATTTGCCTAATACAATACATCCTTTGATTTCTTGACTGCTGCTTCCGTGAGCATTATTGTAGATCCAACTAAAGTTACATCCTTGACAACTTCAATCTTTTCTCCATTTATTATGAGGCTGTTTTTTGGCCCCGTTGTGAGGATTTTTGTTTTCTTTGCATTGAATTGTCATCTGTACTGAAGGCTGTATGTAGTCTTCCATCTTCACAGGTAGTTCAGAAGTGGGATCGGGTTTTGTGTCCACTTGACTGGACCAGGATTCTCAGTGGTTTGGTAGTTGAGATGTGCTTATCCCCATGGGGAGCTGATACAGGCATAGTTAACTCTATGATGATTGGGTTCTGAGCAGCCAATCAATCGGGAGGATGTTTCCCAATATAATGTGCATGGCTTTTTCTGCTGGGGGCGGCGGGGGGGGGGGGGGGAGCCTGGGAGTCTACAGTTAAGAGCAATTTCATTGATAGCGACTTCTTTTTATATGTTTTTTGTTGTTGTTACGTGCCGTGGAGTCGTCCCAACTCATAGCCACCCTGCATAGGGCTTCCAAGGCTATAAATCTTTACGGAACCAGAAAGCCTCGTCTTTCTTCCGCGGAACAGCTGGTAGTTTTGAACTGCTGACCCTGACGTTAGCAGCCCAATTCAATTCGTAACCACTAGTTTGGCTTCTCTAGAGAATCTGGCCTAAGACAACAAGCAAGGGTGTGTCATCTGCATGTCACAGGTTGTTAATTAGCTTCTAATGAGTTGCAGGTCAACGGGTTAATGTGCTGGACTGCAAGGTAGGTTTGAACTCCAAGGTTGGCGGCTCAAGCTCACCAGCCACTCCTCGGAAATCCTATACACCGTTGCTATGAGTCAGAACCAACTTGACACTTAACAACCACAATTATGCATACATCCTCCAGTCAAACACAGTTTTCCAAAGTCACAGCCGTGACAAGAAGAGCATCAGTAGGGACGCTGAGGCTGTACTTACTGTGACCAGGAAGATCTTTGGGGTGAATTGATGATGCCCCTCTTACTCTTAGCTGGTCTAGCACAAAGTCTGGCCTGCCTGGGGACAGCACTGTGGACAAGGAGGAAGGAGGACCACAGCCTAAGATGACAAAGCTGCTGACTGCCTGTCGCAACTTGTGAGTCATGGTCCAGCTCACGTGGAACACCACACAATCAGAACTCAACAGCTCTATGCTGACCTGGAAGAGGCCCCGGGACCCACAGTGGAGAGACGTGTCCTGAGGACCACCTGGTCCTGCGGGTGCATTGCTTATACGTTGTGCGTTGGAGACTGGGATAGGCTTCGAGGGTTCATCATTTCCTTTACAGATTCTTTTGATTCTGAAGGTGTTTATTGACCTACTCAGCACTGCTAGATAGATAACATCGGGTTGACTGCACCCCACGGTTACCCTGTGTACAACAGGATGAAATACTGCCCAGTCCAGTGCTGTGGACATTGTGCCTGTCCGTCTCCTTGAGAATCTGCTTCATCTTCACTGACTCTCGACATCACCAACTAGGCCGGCCTTCCTCAGGGACCAAGCTGTCCTGATGATGAATCGGAAGAAGTGGGTTGGACAAGGTTCCGTTGTGATTCTGAGTGTGATGGTTCATGTTAGATGTACATTTGGCTAGGCCATGATTCTCGGTACTAAGGAATATTGGTCCCTTTTCCATCTAATCTAAGGGGAGTTTCCTCAGAGAGGTGGCCTGCAGCCAGTAAATCTGGACAATTTGGTAAGCACTGCCCTCTCTGGATCCAGCATCTTCCTCGTCATCCTCTGACTTCTGGGTCTCGGGATGTGAGCCAACAACCTGCTGCCAGACCTGTTGAGTGTGGGCCCAGCAGCCCCTGCGACCACATGAATCAGGAGGAGCCGTGACCTGACACCTGACCCACGAATTTGGGACTTGCCAGTGCATGTGTGTGAGCAGTTCCCTTGAAATAAATCTCTATGTGTATGCACAAAGTGTGATGCTGTTGGACGAGCACTTGGCCACAAGGTTGGTGGTTCAAACTCAGCAGATGCTCCTCGGAAATCCTATACAGGGTTGCTGTGGGTCAGAACTGATTTTATGGCACCTAACAACATCCTCATGAACATACACACATCACTGTATTTGCTCCTCTAAAGAATCCAGCCGAAGGCAGTATGGCTTCTAGTGCCACAGCAATATCCCAGTTCCCACAGTACCACTGACGGAGGGTGGTAGCAATACAGACACGTGCCACGTATGTCCTGCGGGCGGGTCTGTGTTCAGGAAACAGTATAAAATACAATAAAAATCCACCTCCGGAGCTTACATCCCAGGGGGAACCCTGTAAATAAAAAAACTGGATAAACCCCAATAAACAAGGATTGAAAGGGGGACTGGGGGGCGGAGGGGGGGACACATGGGGGCCTGCCCACGAGGGCCACAGAACTGCTGGCTAGGTGACAGGATCCTCCCAAGAGGGTGAGGTGACAGGAGGCCTAGTTGGGTGATGGGTCCTGGCTAGGTGACAGCTTCCTTTTGAATGTTTAAGGGGAAGCAGTGGGTGAGGGCATCGCTCCACACAGACACTCACCTGGGAGGTGACTGAATTCTAGTGATGGGGAAAGGGGCCACCGAGCAGGCTCCTGGGGGCTCCACCGAAAGTTCTGAGTGGGAGTAAGGCTGAGGGGACAAGGCACAGGGACTTGGTGGTCAAACTAGTCGGGATCCCTTTGTGCCCCCAGAACATCTTTTTCTTAGAGAAATAAATGTCCTGCCCCCTCCCCCGATGCTGACTAATGGATTGCTGTCATTTCCAAAACAACACAAACAGACTCAGACAACAAGGCTGCAGCTGGCGTCCACTTTATTCCGTTCCCTCAATTCCCGAGGCCACACACGACCACACAGGAGAAGGGTCCCAGCAGATGTGTGTCCAGCAAGCTTCCGCTCAGGACAGGTGTGAAAAGTCCTATGTGGTCGCCATTGGGGACTCTTCCAAACAGCAGTCAGCTGTGATGCTGTGGGTCGTGGTGACACAAGGTGGCACTTAGCCCAGTGGCAGCCTGGCCCAGGATGCAGAGACACTTGCGGAGTTTAATTGTCCGAGTTCTGACGCTGGCCCTGCGTCCTGAGTGCATACACCATGTGGGAGAGTCATTGGCCTGTGGTCAAGCTGAACTGGAGAGACGCTCCTGCCGGAAGGTGATGCCTCCCTTCAGTCCCTCTCCGCTGTCAGCGCCCACCTCGCCCTCTGCCACCATCGGATGCTGCTTGTAGGAATGTGGCCTCAGACACCACGGGTGGGTGGGGGAGCCCGTGACGGTCACCACAGCTCAGCCTCACACCAGCGGGGGACACAGGTGCATCTGCTGTGAGATGGAGGCTCCCAACAGCTACTGGGAGAGAGGCCTCTGTAATGTGGTGCCTACCTACCCACCTCCTGTTCAGAGATGAATTTGTCCCAGTGGTTGGATACTGAGATCTGCACACTGGAGACTTCACACAGCAGCCTTGTGACCTCAAGCTACGGACCCAGTTTAGTGACGGTGTTCTCCAGATGAGAACCTCCCCACATGCACCAGGACATGTGGCTCTGTCTTTCACAGAACTCACTGAGCCTGTCTGCAAGCGAATCAGAAAGTCCTGCTACTTGGGTTCCAGCTCAGACATCCACAGATTGATTCCAAACAAGAAGGGTTTCATTATGTCTCTGTGCTCAGTGGATGTCTCAGTAACACAGCTGTCTTAGTCTCAGTCTCCTGACCTGTAGTTACGAGCAGCCCAGCTTGGTATCCACTGCACTACCAGGGTTCCTTCTTGTTAGGAAGTCTTCAAAAATGTCCAATCAAAACTGGGTTCCCAGAGGATCTGCTGGGTCAGTTCAAGGCAGAGAAGTCAGCCCAGAAAGTAATTAAAAGTATTGTTTTTTGGTTCCAAAGGGGTCTTCTTGATATATTTTCTTGAAGGACACAGGATGATCACAGAGACTTATTAGGAAGAAGTTTTGAAAAAGCAGAAAAATTTCTTGGTGCATCAAAGGTCAATCAATAGTGTTGAGCCAAGGACTTGCTTCTATCTGGACAATTCTTCAAGGATAGCAAGGTTGTCCTGGGTGACTTTCATTAGGAACCTTTTCCCCATCTACCCTACAGACCTGATTTTGCCTCGTCAGATATTTTTGTTTCCCAAACAAAGGACATTTCAAAAGAACAAGATTTGAATCCCCTGAGGATACACAGTGTAACTTGAAGAGCACAGACGTCTCCAGGGAAGGGTTGTGAGATGGAAACACCCCGTCAGAAGTGTGGAGACTCAGGTGGAGGACAGATACGTAAACAACAGCTTCACATGTTCATAGTGTAAGATGTCCATGGTTTGGCAGCAATACTTTTTGACTTCTCGTGGCCAAGAGAAAGAGCGCCGGGTGCTAGGATCACACTGCCCCGTGCACCCAGCTCCTGTATCGATAGTGGTGCGTTCAGAGGGGTTAAGAGTCCAGGAAGTGCTTATTGCCTGGGCAAAAGTTGTTGGTATAGAAACAAACCAGGAGGGTTTAGGTTTGTCTGACTTTCATAAAACACCACCATTGAGGCTGAAGTCTATGGATTTTAATACTCTATGGAAATTCTCGTAGGGTTTCTGTAGCCCTGGGGAAACGTCTCAGTTACTATTCCAAAGCAAAGCCTACCTACTTACACCACCAGGCAAGGTTGGCTTCAGTGCACACGCTCCTATCTACCTGTGAGGCTGGGCGCCTTGTGCTAAGGAATGACCAGTCCTCCATGTCGAGGTCTCAGAGATGTCCAGCATGTTCCCAGTGACACCCCCACGAGCCGCCCCCCCACCCACTCCTATGACAAATCCTGGCTCTGCCAACTTCCTTCCGCACAAAGGAAATGGAAGTGGTTTGATTTACACTTTTATTCTGTAAACGAAAGCTTTGGAAACGTTGGGGTTCACGGATGGAACATCGGGGGCATGTGCTTGCTCATCCTCACGCGGTGCTGCAGGGCCGCTGCCACGAAGGCGACGAGACAGCTGGGGGAGGGCGCCCGTGAGCCGCTCCGCTGGCCGGATGTGGCTTTCTTCCGACGTGTGGACACGCCCTCACAGCACTGAACGCCCGACTCCCAAGGCTGATCTCACAAGAATATTAAATTATCAAAATTAACAAGAATTTCCTCACCTAGCACAAGGTACTCTACAGTATTACAAACACAGACTCGGAAAAAATCAGGCAGTAGAAAATGTACAACAACTTTGGTGTTATACAAAACAACTTCCCGAAACCACTGAGGGTGAAGCGAGAGGTGGTGCTCCTCGTGCGGAGGGGCCCCCAGAGATGCAGGCGCCCACAGGAAGGGCTGCCGGTGCCAGCGATGGGCAAGCCTGCTGGGCACGGTGCTTGGCACACTCCTGTCAGGATCACAGCGGGTCCACGTAAAGTGACAACTAGATTTAATAAATTAATGCACACTGTGGAGGTGTACACGCATGTCTGCTGGGCCGCGGTCTCCAGCGTCAGGAGCCTCTATGTACACGGTGACAAACCGCGATAACAGTGCGTCCCAGGGTGGGCTGGCATGAGGAGGTACGGGCGCGAGGCCGCTCCTGGTGCTGAGAGGACTCGTCCGAGACGCAGAACTGAGATGCTGGGGTCTCCACACAGAGAAGTCCACAGGAGAGGGCACGGTGAGGTCCAGGTGGGGGCTGGGAGCTGGAGCCAGCGCTCTATTCCTGGGAGGCTGCTGGGGGCGGCCCGGCGCCTGCCTTGCCCGACTTCCGCTCGTAGTTCACTAGGCGCTGCCCCACGAGATACCTGGGGAGACGGGGAGGTTACCAAGGGGTACGCATACATTCGGAAGAGCGGGCAGTCACAGGGCCTTGTGGAAAGTGGGGACGGTGCACCGAGGGGGAACTCTGGGACACCCCGGCACAACTGAGGGGACAATTGAGGGGAGAGGGTGATGAGGTGGAGTAACTCCTCAGAGTTCATCTACCCTGGAATGAGGCTCAGGAGCTCAGGTCCCCGGAGTAGGAGAGACGCAG